ACTTATTTATGCAAATTTGTCTGGCGAACGCCAAGTACTTAAGTTGTGGCTTTTTGCCAAGCAAGAGAGAGGAAGGAGTTAGTAGAAGCAGGCCGCTTGCCTTAGCAGTTTTACTCGGTTGCTGGTTGCCTTCCAGGCCAGAGGTTTTAATCCTCTTGATAATTTTAAACGTATTGTAGTGTTAACAGTTCTCTGTACTACATACGGCTTCCTGTTAATATACGGCCAATCTTCCATGTAGGTCCTTGTTTATTATCCCAAAGTTAAGTTATAATTTACTTAATATTTTTATATTCTTACGTTCAGACCACAAGTGGTTGGTCTCTGTATTCCGAAGTCCGGAAATTATTGTAAAGAGTGAAACATAAAGGGTTTCGTATACCCTTCCTGTGTATCTTGTCTACTTCCCACATTTATTGAACATAGCTTTAGTAAGCTCCCTCTTCCGAGTCAGGTCTTTGCATGTTCCCAAAGCAAGTAAGGCGGAACATTGAACCTGATAATATATCCATAGGATGTTGTAAGCCTTACTATTATGATCTAATTTTATGAGTTGCACCCTGTGAACTGTTTTGATGTCAGTTCTAAAATATTATGAGATGAACTAGTTGTAAGGCATAAGTAATTCAGTTACAGTTTACTTTTAATTATTCTTACTAGCGTTAGCAGTGACATTAACCTCTTGATTAATAGATTTAAAAAGACGAAGAGGGGAAAAATGCCGAAGAGAAAAGAACGGAGAAGAAAATAATGTATAGGGTGTGGACGTGTATTCCAAAAATATTAACCACGTACTTTCTTATTTAATAAAAAGAAGCACGAGAAAAAAGAACTTCAATAATACATTTTATTTTAAATGCGGGTTCCCCTCGCCCATCCTGAACTACTAAAAAAATGATTGCAACCACGAAAGCAGTTGAGACCATAAAACGTAATGCGAACATTTAAAAAAGATATTGATCAAATATATATATATATATATGTATGTATAAAACTAAGAAAATGAAAATAAATTGACGTTTCAATTTTAAAGCACTACAGAAGCCCTCTTCTGACCATGTTTTAAGTTTAGAAGTACAATCGAATGAGTTTTCGAAATGAGAGCAATCAGAAACATTCTGAGTCATAGCATTCAGCAGTCAAAAAATTTTATTATTAAGTTACATATTTATTTAAACTTATTCAGTTATAATATCAATTGGTTATACAGGGACCGAAAAGAAATGCTGCCAAATTTGGCGACTATTGGCGATTTCCCGCCAAATTTGGGGACAAAAATAATTTGCCAAAGCCTTGCCAGCTTTGCGATATCTTGCACTTTAGCGAGATAGGCGTTTACTGAATGTTAAATAGACATATCCCCTATAATCTCATTTTTCAGGCAGAACTTCGTTTCTTTCAAGCATTTCATATTATAATATATCAAAAAAAGTACAATTTCGCATATAATTTGCACATACGGTTTGCGGTGACATATGCAAACCATACATGCGACATTTGCATATATGTTATTATTGAAATTCTTTTTATGCGTAGTTCTTTTTATCAAATAAGAAAGTACGTGGTTAATATTTTTGGAATACGACAAATAGCAGCGCTATAAAGTGCTTATAAAATTGTTTGCATAGAGTAATCAGTAATAATACTATTTTTTTGCTAAGCTGGAAATCTGTTCTTAAATACAGATAAATTTCTAATAGTATTTTAATGTTATTATAACATGTTTTATTCCTCCTGCTTGTATTTTTAGCCTACCTTGGATTAACCATAATTTTCAGAGTTAACCGCCGATGTCGCCTACAGTATTTTCCCAATTAATTCAGGAGTTGATTGTAAACTATGTCATCGTAAATCTATGAAATCATGTATAATCGATGAATAATTAGATAAGTCCACAAACAGGAATAATTTCTGTTGAAACTCTGTTGGACTTGGTCGACCAAAGGGGTACGACTAGCACCTCGAAGAATACACATGAAATTTGACAAATAAATTAAACAGTCTAAAAAAACATTACTGTTTTTTTTTTTAAGAAATAAACGCATACAATATTCATGAAAGTTGATAGTTTGGATAATCCGTTTGTTTTTCAATTAATCCTGACTTTCTTTCCCTGCACTGTCAATCGCGCGACTTTTCTAATCTACATTTCAGGTAAAACAGTTGATTAGGCGATTAAATCAAGCCAATTTGCTTCTTAATGATAGTTTGATTATTATAATCATTCAGAACTTTGAAGAAAGACTTCCGCATATATAAATTCTATTGCTATTTATAAATATACAATATACTTTGGATTATCCGCGTGCGAATTATTCGAATTGCGGATTTTTGTGCGTGACGGTGCTCACACACGACCACTCAACTCCATATGATGTGTGAGAGTGTGCAGAAGAAAAAAAATCACCCAAGTCCGCAAAGCGCTGAATTCCGTCTTTAGGTTTAGTTTTAATAACCTTCTACAATTCGCTCTGTATGTGTTTGAAGCCATCGTATCGGTTGATCTTTGGGATTTTCATTTTCGCCCAAAGGGGGTTAGCCCGGAAGGGTTATTAATTTCGCTTTGGCATTTTGCGTTTAAAACTTTAAATGTCGGTTCATTTTTCAAACTGCTGCTACCAAATACTACAGTCCTGTATTATATTTAAAGAAATTAAATAATGAAGAATCTGCATGATTGTATGTATTTTCTTGCATTGTGATAAAACGACGGTACCTAAAGCCATCCAGTTTTGAATAACGTACTTTTCCATCCGAATATGGGCATCTGGAAGCCCAAATTTAGAATTTTTTATGATCTATTTCATATTTTGTAAAACTTTAACGAATTTTTGATTAAAAAACTCCACGATTTCAAAGCGTGCAATGGCAACACTGTAAGGGGGGAGGGAGACATTTTTATCTCCAGCGCGCGAGACTGTGTATCGGAAATTCTAAAGATATGCTCATTTAAAAATTGTTTTGCGATATTGCTATTGAACTGAATTTTCTGGTTTAACTGCGAAGAACGTGATATTTAATGTGTTTGTAACGCACAAAACGTTAAAAAAAACGCCTCTTTGGGCGGTATGTAAAATCCGAAGGCTTTCAGATTTTTTGTTTGTTTGTTTGTTTTGTTTCATAATTTTTTTGTGTGTACAATATCTCATTCTTTTAAAAATTGATTTAAAATTTTAGAACTATAAAATGGATTAGGAATGCGCTACAAATACTAAAAGCAAGAAAGTTGTTTCTACATTAAAACAAACCAAATGTTAGATGAACACAAGAGGCAGAATATGATACTAAAAATACAAGCGAAGAAGATGCTGATAATTACATAAGTGCAGAGATAGCAATTATTTATTTTGAAACACTGTTGGACTTTGTCGACCAAAGCGAATAATAGCACTCCAAAAATATTGAAATTCGACAAATAATTAAACAGTCTAAAAAAAATTACTGATGATGATTTTAACCGCAGTAGCATAGTAATCGGCGATATGTAAACACTGCTCGCTGAGAAATAAAACATTCTGACTTTTTTATGAGATTTGTAACGCAATCACATTCAAAGCCTCTAGTCAGTATTATTCTTTAATGTCATTTATAGTTTAGTTTCTTTCTTTTCCCCCCCCCTCCCCTAATGATGTTTATTCTTCCGTTATTTGCCGTGTGTGTGTTTATCTTGAATACTGATTTAGTTTACGTAGCCAAACATACTTATTCTTCATATAAAATTGCTTGAAAAATACACGCAAGTTGTTAATAGTGTTTTTCTGTTAATTAATAATGTGGATTATTCCTCTTTCATGCATTATTTTAACTGCCATCGTAATTTTGAGTTAATCGTGGACATGATCCTCGTTACTGCTTCTGTAAATTGGAAGGCGATTGAAATAATATTTTCAGCAGAGATAAATTACGTCAAAAGTCATTTCCCTTCAACTGTAATTTTAAATAAATGATTTATTACATAAAATCTAAAACGTATTTCATTACATAATTCTGAAGGAAGCCCACTATTAGGAATATGAAGTAAACTATTTAATAAAATAGTGGTATACAGGGTATTCCTCCTTATAAACTCCTTATAACGCCGTGTTGTGTGAAACCGTGTTATACGAGACTAGCAACCAACATACAATAGCGGGACGCGTTCCGAAGTGAACAATAAAGTAATTTTTAAATAAAAATAATTAATGATAATAATAAAATATAATACTACTAAATAATTGTAAACTAATTTTATAAATAATAAATAATTTTAATGATAAATAATAAGTAATTTAATATAAGTATTTAAATAAAGTAATAATAAATAATAAAGTAATTTTTAATGGTTCTCATTGTTACATCATTTAAAGTTTAATTTTTTGCAACGTCAGATGCCTTTTCTCCTTTTAACAAACGATTCAGAATTTGTACTTTCATCTCCAAAGATACAAATTTTCTTTTAAAACTTTTTTTTTTTTTAACTTTCAGACACAGTTTGGAACTAAAATATAATTTCACAATAATGCCTCCCGAAAATGACAAAACAAAGTAACCACATATACCCAAAATATTTTTTTAAAAAGTCCCAATTATGTAATTTATACAGTCTAACAAATGAACACTTGAAGCGCAAGATACTCTCTGTGTAAACGATGGGCATGACTTAATAAAAAAAAAAAATTTTTTTTTAAATAGAAAGAAAGATCAATGTGAGAAAATGCGTATATCATTGTATTTATTTTATTTTTATCTGTATAAATATATAAGCTGCTATTATGTCCTACACAGCATGACATAGTATGCAACTAAAATGTTTAGAATAAAAATTGTGTTATCGAAGTATATACATATATAAAGTGTAAGATGAAATAGGTATATTTTTTAACATGCTAGAATGTAACTCTGTTGCCGTGCTAAACGGGAAGGTTCGCAATTTTTTCTATCGTCTTGTAAGAGGGATAACCTGAACTGAATAAGGCACATTGCACAAAAAATAAAAAAGAATTGTCCCAAAATAAACATACCATATCCCAATTTCTACGAGCAGACGAACTCCAATGAAATACTCAAAATTCCAAATTTTGCGGCACTTGTAACAACATTTAGCACTCGTATTAGGTCGTCATACTTATTAACATCCACTGTTGTTACCTTTCATTCACGAACTGGTATTATTCGAGTCGACTGACAACTCGTGCTGACACCGCTTAGAAGGGGGGGAGAGAACACGACGACTTGGCGAGCTTCCAAAAAACCTGTTGCTCTCCTAATGGATTTTATGCCATCCATTTTTCGAACTACCTGTTTGCTATTATATCATCGTTAGCTGGGTCAACGATTTAAAATCCGGGACTGTGATGAGGCCAATTTGGAAATAGCATTCTCTAAGTAAAGAACATAATAATAATCATCATCTTTCACTTTCTGGGAAACAGGTGAGAGGAGAGATTGCACAGTAAAAGACCTTGGACTCGTTCGGAACTTTTCGTAAGATTGTCATTCACACACAAAAAAAAGTTACTCACTCGGCCTTGCTTTTCAGAAAACATCTCTTTGAATTCAATATAAATAATCCAGCATTTCAATAATTTTCGGGCTAAAAAGCACTTTTTAGAAAAATGGGTACTATTCGGTTTCGAGGGCCGTAAAAAATCGCCAAAGTATTGTTGATGCCAATGCTGCCAAAAATAATTGCGGCAACCTAAATGCGCAAGAAGGAATATAACTGGAATAACTAGATTGATGTTTTAAATAGATGAAAGGTTAATTAATATAATACTTTTTTATATTAAATTATATGAAACGGCTAAAATAATGGAAGCAGAAGAGTAAATAACTATTCAGACATTATTATATTTATATAAAATGCTAAACATAACTGAATGATCCTGCATCCTTTTTGCTACCGACTTATCGCTAAAGCGCAATTCATCTTGTTGGTTGTCAAACGTAATTTTTCAGAATGAATGATGCTTTTTCTTGAAAATATCAGATCGGAATTCATAAGTGCAGATCGCTCACTATTTATTTGCGCTTTTACAAGGTAAAAACATTGGATTTTTCAATTTATTTTACTTTTTAAGTGAAAATATGTGATGTACATAGATAAGTCTAGGAGTGCGCAGTGCCATTTTTGTGCAATCTGGGATTTTTTTTTTTTTTTTTTTTTTTTTTTCAGTGAAATAGGTCATGTGCGCATGATACCGAGTAGTGCAATTTAAAACCGCGTCAAGCAACACCTCCTTATAGAAGGAGGTGTGGTCAGCGTGTGATTCGTACTATACCCAACATTTATTGCAGACTTTCGTATGGCATTCCCACTTGTTAATCCATAAGTCAAAAAAGGATTAAGATCAAAAAAGGACTTAAAATTAAACAATATTTATGGTGTCTTAAGAATATAGCACTATATAAACTGAGGGGAGCGCGTACACTAGATTTGGCCTGCTGTTAAATTGGTGCGTTTGCTAGATTTGGCGCTTTTGCGCATACATTTTCGCTGCAATTTTCTTACGGCCTTCAAAACAAAAGAGTACCGAAAAATGTATTAAAACTTCGCAGTTTATAACAATTCATTATTTCTCTTACATCTGTTAGTTAAGTTATTTAATATGGTAGAGCACTGGAGGCTAGCTGCCGTAGGATAATTGCTTTCGCAAGGACTTTCTAAGAGAAACGAGCTCATATGAAACTTAAAGGGCTTTATGTTGGTACTTGCCGGTTTTAAAAGCGATCAGCGATTAGTCGCCAAATTTGGCGGCGCTATAGCAAACACGCTACAGCAAATCCAAAATTATAACAAAAAAAAAAAAAAAAAACCAAGCAATACGAATTGCAAAACACCTACTTTTTTCCTCCCCGTTCAAAAGATATCGTTTCTTTTCGAATTCAAAATCATGAGAATTTTTAATTTATGAAAATGAAGTTATTTCATTCTTCGAGGCCCACCATTCTTCGAGGCCGAGCGGTAAAGTCGCTGAACACTAGTAGTTCGGTCTGAGTTCAAATCCCGCGAACGGTTTGGTTTGGTTTGTGTAATTATAGCAACGCCTCGAGGGGCTATCTGCGTAAGGGAAGAGATGCCTTCGTGAAAGACTTTCTAAGGGAAATTGACTCCTATACACGTTACACATGGGTAAAACCACGAAAACACCCATGCAGCTATCGAAACTTGGATAGAACTACCAGTGTTCAACGAGTTTAACGTGTATATGAGAGAGTCCTCCACGAAGACATCGCTACTTTTAGGCAGTTAGCCCTCGAGGCTTTGCAGTAATGACATACACCAAACCAAACCAATTTCATTCTATAAGGTGTTTTCTCTCTTTCCTGGCGTGCCTTCGTGGTGTAGTGGTTAGCACGCTGGGCCGGTATTTCAGAGGTTCGTGGTTCGATTCCCGGAAAAGGCGGTTGCATATTTTTCATCTTTTCTGCTTCCAATTAACCTAATGACTCTACAATTCTTCCAAAAAGGAGGTATTTTTACCCTCTACATGAATTTCTAAAAACGGGCATGTAATTTCATGTAACTTGATTTAGTTACATACCGCCTCAGAAGCTATAGGGGGATGCAATGCGAAAAACTGACAGAAAGATTTTTGCATCAACAACTGCTTCGCTTCTTTAAAAACTACATTTTTGACAGCGGTAGGCTGCTATAGCTAATTTATGAGCGCTTGAAAAATAAATTATAACTTTTCTAAACAGGAACAGGAATTTCTTTTTTTTGGGGGGGGAGGGGAAGAATAAAAAAGATTAATATTTTTTCCTAACATTTCCATTAAATTTTCATTATTTAAAAGCGCTGTTTTTTATTGGTATGGCGCCTGGCCACATTTTTCCCTTGCTGCTCTGATCGCCAGTAAAAGCGACAAGTACTTTTATTTTAATAAGGCAGTTATGGTATTATTTTTGTGGTTTTAGTCTTTTATTTTTCTTCATCCTTCACTAGAATGCAAACTAGTTTAAAGTTTTAAAAAGAATGAAATTTCTAGGTTTGGCGTAGAGTGAATGGCCTTTTATGCTGACTGTTTAGTTGCACTTGTGCTTTTTCTACTAACCGGCCGGCAAAAACTCGTTTGCTTTAGGTTCTCTGCATCTAACTAGACACAGAAAGCGAAACTTTAAAATTGGATTTATTTATACTCGATTCGATTTACTTTAAACTAAAACTTGTTAAGTTAATGAAAGTTCAATCTGTGTAATCATCAAGCTGACTTGTTAATAAATTGTTTATTTTAATTTTATTCTGATTGAGATTCTTCTTCAGAAACTGATTCGAAGAACCGATTCAAATTACTTAGCGAATGAACTCCGATTCCAGAAAACGAAGTAGTAGTTCTTTTACAGCTCATGGATAGCTCTTATTCGAAGCGTGCCAGGAATAGAGATCTGCTATTCATTCACGAATTGATTCATTTGACTGAGGAAGTAAACACCTGATTGGAGAAAAAAAGAGGGGAACTGTTTTTGGAAGCGTGCCAAGAAAGTTCGATTCCGATTTTAGGGGAGAAAAGAATGTTTATCCTCCCATGTTTAAAGTGAGATTAAATTTTATCATTTCCCAACTTTTTAAAAAATTGTATTCTAGAATTGTATTGTTAGTTCTATGTAGAAAGGACGTAGAGAATCTCAGGACTACTGTTCAACGAAACTATTTCAGGGAGTTTGCGTTTGATTGATTCTTCCGATCCCACTTCCCCCTTCGATTCTTTTAGCTTTTCTCTCCAGCCTCGCGAACCGGTCCCAATCGGTCGCTGTTCATTTGAATTTTTCCTCTCTTCGCTTAATCCTGGAGAATCACTCTCGATTCACCACTCGTTCCAGATCTTTTTCAATTGAGGTTGGAGGATTTTCCTTATTTTGCACAACACATTTATTTTAAGTTTTCCTGTTCGCAACTTCTTAACTTCTCAACTTCCCCTCGCATTCTGTCGCCAAGATGTAAATTTAAAGTGCTATATTAAAATTAAAGTGCTATTTAAACGTATGATTATCTCAGTTTATTCAGAGTGTGTTTCGCTAGTCAACGCACTTTTCGTTGTTATTTCGCGGTCACTAGTAAGCCTCTTGGCCTTATCAGTTTAGTATCAGACGGTTAGATTCTGTGAGTCCATCCTTAGGATAATTTGAGTGCGTTCTGCACTGTAATTTAAGAATTGATTTGTATTATAGTCTGCGTCGTTCGCCGCAGTGAAGGTGTTGTAACGCCGCGTCCTGCTTCTGTGAACTAGTTGATTTAATACAGGTATTTGGCCCTTCTTCTGTGCTGGTATTTAATTCACGCTTGTGCGAGAATTCGCCAGGTTCATTGTAAGATGTAAGTTAGTGTATGTGGAAAAGTAGAAATAGGTCTGACACGTTTAGTGACCGACGAGTCGTGGAAAGGAACTGATTCATTTCAGTGAGTGAACGAGTCTGTTCCAATCTCGCAAAATAGCAGCTTTTGTTCATCTGTGGTTAAGATGTTAGACTGGGCAAAAATTTCTCCGACAGTCTTTTACGGTTACGGATTAGTTATTCGTTACTTTTAATATGGTAACCATGTGAAGAAGCTTTACCAGTTCTCCTCAGAAAGTTTTGCGGGAGGACATCCTTCTCCTTACGCAGCATGTTGCTTGGTTATATTCAAGTAATTCCTTAATTAAGTACTCATCTTCCAGGTTATCACTCCGAACTGATTTTGTTCATCTTTTCGCAGTCCGAATTCTGCCCTTTGTAAAATGAATCGGAAAAATATTCCAATTTCAATTTTTATTATTCCTGTAGCTATTTCAAATGCAGAAAAAGTCAACAGATCTCCCAAATTTGATTTCGCCCGTTTGTTCTAGAATTTTGTACAAGGCAAGCACTTTTTTTTTTTTTTTTTTTTTTTTTTTTCACTTTTATTTTATTTCATATTTTTGTAAAATGAGCAAGAGTTTTATCGAAAAAGAGGATTTTAGCGTTGAAGAATTTATGTCACTGGTAAAATCATGTTCTTCGATAAATGTTAATAAATAAATAATCATGTTCATGATAATAAATCATGTTCTTCGCAAGTATTTTTTCTAACTACATTCTGGCAGGATATGTATGAATATTTTTGCTCACAAGATTCTGATTTCCCATTGACAGAGCTAAAAATGTTTACCGTCACCTAATATGCAATTTTGCATGGATAAAGTTACAACTTTAAGAAATAACAGTATAAATAATTTATACTATAATAAAATGCTAATGATAACAATCAATTCAGAATTTCA